TCAGAGATAGTACCGTGTATTGTCTATTGTCAGACCATTCCTGTGGTTCATGGCAAGACGGAAGGAAGCAAAGGAATGTCACCACATCCGCAGACTCCATGCAAGAGCACTGTTGCCTTCCCGCACCCGCAGTGAACAGCACTATGGTACCAAGTGGGTGGGCTGCCTGTCCCCAAACACTGCTAAACCACAGCTGGCACTGCTCTCTCTCAGCCAGAGCAGAAGGGGACAACTCTGAGCCACCACCCCCTCCCCAGATGGAGAAGGGACATATACAGGATGGAAAATGTGGTTAACAACCACAAAGAGAGCTGGAGAGGTCACTTTTGGACACAGGTAGAATGACAGCCACCTGAACAAAAGCTCTGCTAAAAACACCCTGTTCACTTTGCTCTGGGAAGAGTCTCCCCTGGTATCAGCAATGAAATTTATTTCCCCCAGCTTGATTCTGTCCCAGTCCCAGCAGAGCCTGCAATCCTTTCCCAAAGTACATCAAAGCATCTGACAAGAGAAAATGGAGTAGAAAGGGTTAGATGATCTTCACCACTGGTCTCTGTGATCCACAGGCACAAATCGCTTCCCTACCTTCTTCACTCCATTGTTCTTACTAATTAGAGCATATCTTCCCACAGAGAGGATCAGACAATGTACCTACACGAAGTATCTGCCTTACCCTACATTAGACTTAAAAAGACTCAGCAAATATGAATTAAAGGCAACTAAAAGGAGCACGTTACCAACCAGATGCCGGGCACCAAGCAACCTCCAACTGTAACACTCTATTTGCCCACAACAATGATGCAATGGCTATGCAGACTGTGCCTGTCAACATCCTTATATGTCCTGAAAGATAGCTTGTCACAGACATTAGTTTTACCATTTCTATTCTCTAGTAAAGACTAGGGTCTTTCTTACAGAAGTCTATACAGGAATAGTTAGAAAAGCTTTGCCACATCACTATTCTCTCCCTCTCCTTTTCCCATATCATTGATGAACCAACCACTAAAGAACAAAGGACCAAGTCCAGATCCTTGAGATCTTAATTGATAACCTCCTTCACTTGTTCTTATGATGCTCCTTATTGCTAAGTTTCTGATAGGAGATTCAGGCATTTTGTTTAAGGAATTGGCCCATTATTTTCTTATTTTGCAGGCAGAAGTCTCCCACAAGTAACACAGCAGTTTGGGATTTAAACTGTTCAGCAGTGGATTTCAAATGGTCCAAGCAGGCAGTCTCTGTCCATCATCAATACCCAATGTTATGGCAGTATTTGATGGATTCCATCTCCCCCTCCCTCTCCAGCACCCTGTGGCAACCCACCCACACTGCATCACCCAGAGGGCATCAGAGCTGGGAAGGGCAGGGGAAGGAAGAACACAGAGCTTCTTGCACTGCATGCTTTCCTTGCAAACAGAATTACAGAACCCCACAATAGTCATAGGGAAGGACCACAATAGTCACCTGGTCCAATCTCCCTGCTCAGGCAGAGTCATTCCAGAGCACACGGCACAGGACGGAGCACAGATGGTTCTTGAGAATCTGCAGTGGGGGAGACTCCATACCCTCTGGGCAATCTGAGTTCCAGTGCACGGTCACCCACACAGTAAAGTCCTTCCTCAAATTCAGGTAGAACTTCCTGTGCATCAGTTTCTGCCCACTGCCTCTTGTCCTATTGCCTGTCAACTCTAAGAAGAGCCTGGTCCATCCTCTTGTCACCCACCCTTTCATAATTTACACACATTAATGATGTCTATGCCTGTTTTCCATGCTTTCAACCCTGATAAAGCCACAAGTTTCAACAGGGTGGAGATCATAACCATTCAGCATCACAGAGCCTCTTCCTCCCACTACAAGTTTAAAGCAGCAGAATCTGCACTCCCAGAAAAGTACAGTCCTGGGTGACTTAGGTACCAAAGCCAGGCAAATTCTGACAAGAGATTAAATGGTTCTGACCATCAGCCCACCAACCTCCTGTTCACATGTCCCCCTCATGCTCTGTTCTTCACTCTTCCATTCAAACAGCTGATGACAAAACTCATCCACGTTTGGGACCTCTCTTACTGTAAAAAGTAGATCTTCTGTAGCTCTTGTGTAGACAGATAACAGAAATAATAATGAAAAATATAATACAATAATACAGTACTAGAAATTTGGGTCAATTTTTCATTTACTTATTTGTGCAATTTTTGGACACTAGCCTGGAAAGGAACACAGAACAGCTGCTGCCTCCACAGACACTCTGATGAGAGCAGCAGAGCACCCTATCCATCTCCAAAAGCACTGTTCTAAGATGCAGCAAGTTTACTGAAACACTCTGCAATCATGGCAGGCTGCAGGAAAAGCAGAGGCAATTTGTGCGCACTGCCTTCTGGATTGCTTTAAGCTGGACTGCCAGTTCAAGAGTTTTTATGCTTAATTGCATTTATTTCCAAATGGATCTATCTTTTTATCATTCCCAGATAAGGCATACGGAATCACTGTGTTGCAGCAAACCATCCACACTGAGAGAAGACCATGCTATCTAAATTTCTATTGACTTCCTTACTATTCCCCAACAGATACATTTCTAATTGCAATGTGAATTACTAAATTAATTGTTGAGGCTACTTGTTTAATGCTTTCCTTGAAAGCAGGGTGACAACTACCCTTAGAACACCTATAATAAGAATAAGACTGTTATAAATGATAAAAATATTATGTTTGTGATATTCAATGAATGCTGCATTCTCCTACAAAGAGGTACCATAGGTACCTCTTTTGAAAAGCAGCTGTTTGTAAGTGGTGGTACTTCAGGCTTGTTTCTTTGGTAAACTAAAAAGCAAGGTACCACCACAAATTTAAAAGAAACAGCTTTGCACAAACTGTACTAGTACTCCAAGATCCTTGTAAAACACTGACCAGACTGGGATAGAGAAGGGCTCAATATTTTTACAAAACTTAGGCAAGAACATGACCTGTGCCTAATTCTGACTCAATGCAGCCCCAAAGAGCCCATGGGCACACACACTGCATCACCTTCGGTTTTGTCTCAAACTCTTCGTGTTGCGCAGTTCACTCACATGCTGTCAGAATTTCACAGCATTCCTCCAGCACCGACCTTTCTGATGTCCTGTTCATGGCTGATGTCAGATATTTACTTTTTTATCCTTTTTATAAAACACCAAGATCACTCTAAGGTAGCAAGCAAACTCGGTTTGGGATAAGAAGCTCTTTAATACTAGTTTCACGTGGCACTGGTCAGTATGCCCTGACTCTTGAAACAACCAGTAAGCACAGCACATACGGAGATAATTTGCCTAAATGATCTCCTTGTTCAGTATCTATTCAGATCAAAAGACTAGCTGGGAAACACAATAAAAATGTGGGAGGAAAGCTCGTCACTTCTGTTCAGTATCATGATGAAAAGCTCCCTGATGAAAATAAGAGATTGTTTGCAAAAGCATGAGGACTAAAGGATTAGTCTTCCTTGTTTCAGCTCCATGGAGGCCTGTGAGAGCAGGAACAGGGAGCGTGCATGTGAAAGCAAACCGAAGTCTGACTAGAACCTCACTTACTACTGAAGCTGTGCCAATGACTTGGTTATTGAGTCTATCTACACTCACACTGGCAGACTGTGATGCTAAAATGTTCACCAAAGACTCACCTCATTAAAAATCACATTTTTTATGTTTCGGGGAAGACTTCAAGAGAAGGGTGCTCTTGAGGAGGAAAAAAGCTGAGAAATTATTTCTTCTGTGCATTTTCAAGACTACAACTGTTTACGTCACAATATATTTTTGGGTTATATTTCACATTTAAAGAGTAACTTGACATTAGATACATCCCAGATTGCTCATTTATTTTAGCATGAAATGAAACTGGGCAGAAGGCAAGTAAAAAAAAAAGGTAATTTAAACCCCAATTTTTAAAAAGTGCCTTTATTGAGGGTTATTTTGTTGAGCAAATTTGTTTGGGATTTTAGGCAGAGGAAGAGAATAAGTTCTGGGAAGACCAGAAACCATATGCTTGTAGCTTGTTGATTTTTCTTTCTTTCTTTCTTCCTTTTGAGGTTAACTTGAATTATAATGCCTCAGAAAATCAAGAGTGGAGGAAACTCCAAGAAAAAAGAACAAGCTTATTTTAATGCCTAATGCTGCTTCTTCCAGATTTCTCCCTGGCTTTTTAATTAAACTCAGTTCAGGCTGTGAGCCTGAACTGTGGAACATTTTCCCAAGAAAATGTGACTTCCTGTATCTTCTGCAGCTCTTAACTATTCTGCAGTTTTCAATATTGCATTGTTTATAGACACTCCAAACAAATGTGAATATTTTTATCTACAGAAATAAATTACTGTCATGTTTAAATGTTGTTTAAAGGTTGATGCTGGCAGTATTGTGACAGACCAACCCCAAGGTACATTTCTAGTGCAAGGAGCCATGCGAAGTGGAAGAAGCAACACAAAGATGTCAAAGCTGCAGCCCAAAATCTCAGAGTGCAATTGTCACCATCATTAGCTGCAGTGATAAGTGTGCAATTTTCTTCAGTTGTTGTTTCTCTCCGCAACTTTCAAATCATCTACCTTTTGACTAAAAAATAGGGGTTTTAAATCTTCCTTTACCACAAAGTGGACTTCTTTGGCACAACCAGTCTGAGTGTTTGCATATCTCAAATCGTCCAAGTACTGAAGTGCCTCTTTATCACGTTGCTCTCTACAGTTCTCTTTCTTTCAGGAAAAAATGAGCTGCAGAGATAAGTGCAAAAGATAAGTGATATGCCCAAAGTCTTGTTAGAAATCTGTTAAGGAGAGAAACTGAAGCAGAAGTCTGCAGGTCGTGGACTAGAAATGCTATTCTGGATCACTCCGCCTCTCTCAAAGCATACAGAAAGCAAAGATAGGATGGAAAGCTGCCAGAAGAATATAAAAATTACCACAAACAGAAAAGATCTGCACAGCATGAATCAGAGGACTCCTGTAACTGTCTCAAATAGGCAGCACTTAACACACTAACTTTCACTCTTACCTATCAGTAGCCATAAAATTATTTCCTGTAGCTCCAATGTCAAAACATTCACTCTTGACTCCAAACACCTCCAAATGCGAAGATTCTGCCCTAAAAATCCCAGGGGAAAAAAAAAAAAAAAAAAAAACACAAAAAAGGAGCAAAATATATGACTGCAGTAAGTACAAAATATAATAATTTTACAGACATAACAGAAACTGCACAAAGGTAGAACTCCAGACAGCAGGACCATGCTTTTATCTACCTTGAAAGAAAAAACAATTAACACTTTTAAGTATTAAAAGCCTCACCACCATGGTGAAGAAATCTAATCAAAGGAAAGAACAAAACAGCAACATTGAAATCAGATTTTTCTGCATATTTCAGCACTGGTATACAGAAAAGAAGATCATTATGGCAATTATGTTCTGTTCCTTAAACTGATCTGTGGTTAAATGGGGATTTCTGTGGAATCATGAAAATCAAAGGGCAGACTCTATTAAAAATATTTTGTAGTTGCCTGGTCACACAGTGAACTGTCAAAAATGTGGCATCAGTAATTTTATCTCTGGCAAAACATGGCTTCCAGGAGTTTTTCATCACTGGCAGACCATACAGAGTAGAAGAGGCAGACACCACTAGGTTGCTGGCAATGTAATGTGGAGATTATGGAAATTATTTTGAAAAATTATCATCATCATCCCTTCCTGAATTTTAGGGGGATGGAGGGGGGGGGGGGGAAGCTGTATTTCCTTCGAAGCAAAACTGGGTGTTTGGGTCACTTTTCTTAATGGAAAAGAGAAACTTTTGCAGCTTTATAAATGGCCCTGTAAACACTTTCTTTCCCAACCAGCTATGAAGAACAGGAAGGAGTTAAAAATGTTTAAAAACCCACTCACAGTGTGCCCTGCTCACACTGTTACATGCCCAGCAGTAACTGCATACAGCTGTCACCTCCTAGACTTTTCCCAAAATGTACAGGGCTGCTGATTCTGGGGATGACAATGCCTGGCAATAAAACACATGCATAATACTGAAAGGGGAAAAGATCCTTTTTTTGTTGCCTTCCATTTATTTCTTTTATTTGTTCTTCCCAACAGATACTGGTTTTCTCTCAGTATTTCCAGCATGTTTACCTCAAATGATAAAAAGGAAAAAAGTCCATGGAGGGGGGTGAGGTTTGGTTGATTGGTTTTGGGTTTTGTTTAGCAGTTTTTTCTCTTGTAAAGATAAAACAGATCTCTAACAATTTCCAAAGGAGACAGAAAGAGGGGAAAGAACACCAGCAGGTGTGACTAGCACTGCAGTGTCTCCCTACAGCCTCTTTTTAAGCATGGTCTAGCATCCTGTTGTGCCCAACTCCTATTCCTCCCATTCTGAAATAGTGCAAACCCAAAACTCATCATCTTCTTGGCTTCTTATTGGCCCATCACACTTCCAGGACTGATATTCCTGGGGCTCTTCAGAGATGCTGGAGGATGAGAAACATTTTGCACAAAAAAATTTCAACTACAGTTCTCAAAACCAAACTACAAGACTCAGTACTAGACCTCATGCCTAAGGCTGCCAGGTCCCAATCCAAAGATGAAGAAAACAGGGAGCAAGGAGAGCTGGTGCCCTTTTAGCATCCTACCAAATGTTGAAAGCAGTTCTGCAAAGACATTTCCCAAACTTTGTGGAGAAAGAGCCATAATAACCAACATGCTTGAAAGGGATGTCTGATGAAGAACACAGAGAGCAGGAACAGGAGAGCCCTTCTAGTAGCCACTGCTACTTCAAAGGTCCCTTCCAATGAAAACCATTCCATGACAACATTTAGTTTTTGTGGAGATTCTAAAGCAAGAACCACACAGGAAAAGAACTGAGAAACCTAAGTGGTGGACTTTTTACCCTCATTCAAAGAGCACTCACATTCTCACTCTTACAAGTACTCTTTGATTTGCACATCCAGCTACTAGTAAGATTCCAGAGTTTGCTTGTTTCTATTCATTCTTTTTCATTCAATCCCCTTTAGCTGTTTCCCTCTCCCCCACTGACACTATTTGAATTTCTCTTCTTATCCCCCACTGTGTGCTTTTCCTGCCAAAGCCACTGCCATTTAACAGCACTGCCAAGGAGACTTTTTTTTTTTTTTTTCCAGAATAGTTTGAAACAATTCAGGGTAAGAAAACTATGATCTTTAGCAATATGGTTAAATGAGTCAGGTTAGAACATATGCTGATTTTTACATTCAAATAAACCAGTAAACACAGCTTTGGTAAACTTAAAAATTTCTGGCTATCACCAAATTATTTCCATCTGTCTTTATCCCTTCCCACTTCCACTTTTTATTGCACACCCAACAGCTCACTCATTCCCTAGCCTGCAATTCAGCCCCATCACATCTCATACACGTTGCTCACTGGAAGCCTTTCAGGCCCTGCTGAGGTCAATGGCAAAATCCCATTGGATGTGTATGTGATGAGTGTTTTGGCCAGCTTGAGAGCACACCCCGGAGATGGACAAGGACAGCCCACAGTATGGCCAGCAGCAAGTCCATGCTCCAGTCCTTACACAGGGCAGTCAAACTCTCAGTTACAGAGACTTCTAAAATGAGTAGAATGGATTTCACTGCAATTTTTCCACAAACAAGTCAACTTCTTAAACATACTCTAAAGTAATTAAGATATAGGGGGCGGCAGAGGATTGCTTATTTCTCATGCAGCCATTACAACAATGAATTTTTCTAAGTTTAATACAAGATAAGCCTGTGCTCAGGACACACTTCATAGACACACATGTACGAACACATATATGTATATCTACACATTATAGTTTTACTCTATATGCAAAGAAGATGCCTAAGAAAATTTACTTAAATCAAATTATAAGCACCTAAAACTTGTCCAAATCACACTCAAATTCACCACTTTTTACCCTCTTAGCTCCTCTAAAAATCTGCACTACCACTCCTAACAGTACGAACCATGGCCAAAGTCACTTGCTTGTTCCTCCAAGAGGACTCAGGATCTGATGCATCTGCCCAACCAAGCGTCAGAGAATGAGCAGGTTTGAAGCCAGAGGGGCCTGGCTTCTGTTTCAGCTGCCACAAGCAATTCTGTGCGAATGATGTCTTAGAAGAAAAAAGCATTTCAGGAGTAAGAAAAAGAAATATCAGCTATCATTTCAGGGTGGAGAACTTATACTTTGTCAGCTTCTAAAATACTTTATGTTCTGTCCAGATGGTATAACTGGAGCAAAGACCAGAGCAAATGTGGCTTTCATATTAACAAACCCTAATCACTCCCCAGTGGCTCCACACACTCCTACACTCAGACACAGTCCAATACTTTGGTCTTGCTTGACAAAACAGATTTGAACACATGGGCACTAACATCCCACATACCTTGCATTTTTGAGCAAGGTAAAGAGTGGTACAGTGTCCTATTCTCAAAAGCGCTAAAGTTAGAATAACTGTGAATATTGGGCTTTTTGCCTAGTGTCCCAATAGTCCCAAATCCCTCCTGGTGCTCTCATATTCCCTGTATGGGACAGTGAGAAAATCGTCATCAAATAGCTGAAGTACAGGTATTTGGCATAACAGAAACTAAAACAATAGATAACTAGATGCTGATTTAGTGAGAGGTAATAAAATAATCTGCCAGCTTCTTATCTTAGAACTGCCTCTGAGTTTATGTCAGCTCATTTCCCTCTAACGTATATCCCCTCTATGTATGCACATCTATCCCCTTCCTTTCTGCACACATGAAGTGAATCTTCACTTTGCAGCACCAAAATCTGCATACAGAATGCCTCCATTTGGGCTGCTCTTTCTGAGCTCAGCACTGGACCACAGGCCAGTGATGTCAGATTGGCAGTCTCTGACTGGCACAGCAGCTCCCACTTGCAGAGCTTAGTTAAACATTATATTTTCCAACTTGCTGTGCTTTCCACAAGCCCATGTTTGTATATTGCTCTTGTGGCTTTCCACAAAGCTTCAAAACACCTTTCCAGTGGAGTTTCAGTCTCTAAATGTGCTTTCTAGCACAGCTGGCTATATTATCCTACCAGGCCCACAACTCACTGTGTCATTTCTACAGACTTTATTCCACCTTCAGTCACATATATAGCTTCAGTCACATATGTTTGCTCTATCAGATATTATTTTCAAGGTTGTTGTTCCTACAACAGCTAGCACATTACTGAAAAGTCCTGCTATCACAGTACTGTTTGATACACCATCTATGTATGCTAGAGACAAAAGAGGTTCCCTCTTTGACGTAGATACAACTGGCTGATCTTTCAGCAAGTTACTCTTCATCTCTTTAAAAGAAACTGTCTTGTGCATACCTGACAAGACACTACCTATCAGCAGCTTTCAGGAAGTAAAAATTTTTAATTATTTCTTGCCTACGGCCAACAAGACATGATCTTCATTTTCTTTAGAAGGAACCCCAGAGTCTTGGAAAGGCCAGAAACAGAAAAATTGAGTTATTTCTGAAGACAAACACTGCACTGTATTTATGCTTAGTTGCAAACTGTGCTATATGCTTTCAGGATTCAGTTCAAACACTATCAAGCAGAAGCCACTTCATTTTAGCCATTTCATAAATGCAATTGATATGGCATGCTACTTCCATATGCAAATGAACCCTAAGGACTCAAATCCTAACCATAATCAAAGAGACCAAATCATATCTTACTTCCCATGCAAACTTCAATTTTCAGCCTCTTACAAAGTTTAATTTTGCTCTGACAAGCCAATATACAGTGCTATGGAGAAAACAGAAATATTTTCTAAGATTAGAAATATTTCTAATGCCTGAGCTGTTCACACCTGCAGAAATGTCACAGTTCAGTTCATTAATTCTAGATTCATTATAGACTTTCTGCTAGATCAAACAAGAGACAATCAGTATGGGACCAGAATCTTTTTCCCCCCGCAAGACTCATGAACTGCAACACTCTGCTCCTACACACACTTTCAGCATAGACTCCAAAATGTGTGTATACTGCAGATTTAATTCTCAAATGTCACAGATTACAATACCAACATGTGAGTTCCAAACAAATGGTCAATCTTCCTCACAGGTGGCAATAAAAATTTTAAAAAACCCAAGCAACCAAACAAAAAAAGCCTAAAGTCACATTTATAAAAATTACCTAACGTGTCAGCTCAGCAATATTCCACTGCAGTCAAATATTATTAAAAGAACCCAAAGCAAACAGTAATCACTTGGTATTGATATCGCTTTTATCAGATTTACCTGGTTTGACCAGATTTTGTTTCTCTCAATCTAAATTACTGTTTTAGTTTCATACCCACCAAGGTGCTAATCAACCTCCTGTTTTAAAGGTGTTTAAGAAATGCCAAGACAAAGATTTTCCAGTTTTGTAAACAAGTACATATAAATAAAAAGCAGAATATAAGACTAGAGATCAAATACAACTGACAGAAATACAGTTGTAATGGCACTGCTCACATATTTTGGTCTCTCCCCAAAGCTGTTTAGATGCCTCCAAGTAGATGACAATGGGAACTTGCAGTATTTTTTTGCATCAAGTATTATTCCCATTTACATCCTGTTAAGGACTCACAGCTACCCACAAGGTCTCTTTCAGAGACTAACTCCTCAGATGTAATGAACCGTGCTGTCTGAAGGATGAAACTTAGGCTAGACGTAGGTCTGGTGCTGACTCCAAACTAGCAGCTGCAAGCTCCCTAAAGGCACTAAGCTTCACCATAAATACAGGAGCTCCTGGTCCAAAAGCAGAGCTTGCTTCTGCAACTCAGCTTTCCAACCCACAGCTACATAATAGATTCTTTCAAATAATTATCATCTACACACATAACTACTCCTGCAGCACAGAAATAGCAGGAAGTGTTGCCTGGCAGGCTAGAATTTATTTCTTAGCTCAGATAGGCATGCAGAGGTTGCTGCTTCTCAGCCTAAATAAAGCTATTGGTAAAAAGAGAAATCTGTACCTTCGTATCATCCTGGGGCAACTCTTCAGAAGCCAAGCTCACAGGACCTGCAAGAGCAAAGACTGCTGCCTTTAATAACAAGGAAATTCTGGGTCTGCTTTGGTTTCTGCTGCTGGTCTCTCTCGTTTTTCAGATAGGAAAGGGGACACAAGAAGCATGCAGGCAAGCCAGAACAATGGACATGGGCAGCCCATGCATCTCCCCGCAGCAGTGATCCCGTGGGCAGCATGCAAGCTGGGTGCACAACAAGTGCTATGTTATTGTCACAATTATGTTTGGGCTGATTAACCCCCACACACTCAGAAAATCAACAGCTCAAGGATTATGCCTCACACCAATGCCACAGAGCAGCTGAACTCTGCTTTTCTTCTGCAGGGATGTCATGCATTTTCTGAAATTAGACTTTGCATTTTTAACCCAAAAAGTAAAAAAAAAAAAACACTTCACTGTCAGTCTTTTTTTTGTTTGTTTGGGTTTTGGTTTATATTTTCTTCCAAGGGATGTGGAGAAGGATACAGCAACAGCAAAAAACCATCCCCCACGCTTTTCATGTTTTGCCCAAATGCAGCCTGAAGGACGACTGTGAAACAGCAAAGAAGAATAATTTGGACACAGGAATGTAAATGAACACAAGCATCATTCATGCTTCCAGTAACATTATTGTTTAGCAAACATATTTTAAAATAAAATGAAACTGAAATCATATAGACAGTCATCATGGTAAATATGCTTCATTCCATACTGAATCTTTCAGTTCTAGGTTCATATCTATTCTCAGATATCCTCTTCATTTCTCCAGCTCCAGTAAACAGTTAAACTAAGTATGCTTCAGCAGGCAGCATAGGGTGCCTTGTATATGGAGTCTGGTGACCTTTACTGGCACTGAACAAAAGATACACTCAAGGTTTAAAAAAAAAGAGTTCTATCAATACATCTTGGGAAAAACAATTCAAAGACAGTTGCCCGTTACCTAAATCACATAATCTGACCATCAGGTCTCTTGGACATGAAGTTCTGGGGTGCAGTTATGTGCCCCTTGCAACCTGCTGTCCCTGATCTCAGCACGGCCCCTGGACACTGGCAGGAGTTAGGACTGGGTCCATGCTGATCAGTACCACAATCATTCATTCATTTTGAATTAATCCACCCTCTTTAATTAAACTCCTGCAGCATTCTAATACAGCACAACCACAGAGTACACAATCCCTGGTACTGTCAAACTAAACATTCCAGACACCACCTTTCAGCTAGCAGGAACAGACTATTTCTTCTGTAACTGTAAGTACAGACACCTCCTTTAAAGCTTCTATAAAAAGATTTTTTTACAGCATTGACATGCACTTGTCATTATTATTATTCAGTTCAACAATTGTTGAACAATTGAAATAAAAAGCCATTTTCTCTAGACAATATATACTGTAGCAACAATTGGCTTATCTTCTGGGTAACAGCATTCAGTAAACTCATGGACACAGAATTTCAAAGTCAGAAAAGAGAAAGAAAAGCACAAACTCTAAAATTAGCTAAAATACCACCTATTTCACTTTTTGTTCTGCATCCTGTCGGGATAATGTATCACTCCATATATTTGAATTTAAGTTGCTATGGGAGATCAAGCTAGGAGCACCACCTTACACTGACCCACTGCTTTCATATGATGGCATTTCACAAGAAATGGAGGAGGTTGGCTATACCAGCCTCCTCTCATTGACAGCTCAGGGGTTCTGGTAGCATGGGGTTTTAAAAGCCTGTTGATCTTGACTTCAGGAGTGAGTAGCTACTGCTTCTGGGAATGGCAGCAGTTTTAAAATCTGAGTGGGATACTTTCATGACTTGAATGTGCCAAAATAAAGTCCTGAACTTAGCAGACACTTTATAAAGAAGTTCAGTGAATGCAACTCAGAATGTATTAAAAAACACAATCATTTCATATAATTTTTGCTTCCAGCAGCAACAATTTTAACTCAATCTGGAACAAAGTTCTTTTGATCTCCTGAATGCTGGCAAATGGAAATTTTAAGACAAGCCACTAGTCACCAGCAACCACCATTCAGTGATTTTTAATTTTTTTTACTTGGTGGCTAGAAAACAGTCTGCCTTGCAGACATATGGTGACCAATTAAATATTAAAATATCAGAAGATGAAAAAGCATTGTTGACTAACACCGCACAAACAGTAGTTATAGACTTCTCATGTCTACAAGCAGATATCACAGAGCATAGAACACACAAGATGTTTACTATAATCTGTTTGTGTTGTCCTGGATACTTACAAAATGTACTTACAATACTTACAAACCTGCTTTTCCATGTGTTGAAATGAATTTTTTTTTTTTAAAACATGTGCAAAGTAACTCTGATGCATGAAGGCACAAAAGTATACAGCTTCCACTGAAAACACATATAGCTAGGTGTGCCTATGCTAAAATTCTCTGCTGCTTACCAGAATCCAAAATGAGAGTAGATGTCCTGAACCCAAGACTCTCTCATTCTCTCTCTGGGCTATGAATACCCATTGATGTTTGTATTCTGCTTGTGCAAGTCAGACCAAGTTAAAGCTCTTTTTGTGAAAAATATGGAAGTAATTATCACCCACAAGTCACAGTGGCCAAGTGACTGCCACATATAGTACTGCCAATGAAGGCCATTCAACTTTCTCTCCCCAGGGAGCAGCATAAAGACCACCCTGATCAGAGTACAGTGCTCAGGTGAACACCCAGAGTAAATGCATTTTCATACCGTATCACCAAGGTCATTCACAAAACCCGTATAATAAATTCTCACTCACAATAACAGATATGTAGCTTGTAACTGCTAACAACTGCTTATTATTTCTCTGCAAATTTAACTTCTAATGGCAGAATATTTGTTGTCTGAAGACGAACAGAAAAGCTGGGTATAAAGCTATTTTTTCAGCACTAGCAATGGCAGCATACACATTTAAATTCATGACTGTGTCCCTATCTTACCCATTCACTTGAAGTTACTAGCTGATGCCCCTCAAACTAGTCCCCGTCCTTTTTTTCCCTGCATCAGGTCCTGGTCCTGTACACAGTTCATGCAGGTGTTCAGATTTCTGCTGCCCTCAAGTAAGGTTGCCTCCAGCAGACACTGAAGAGCAAGATCGAGCCTCTCACAGAGCTCTCAGCTTGTTGCTTTATCCAAACATACAATGCCAGCCACATAAACAAAAGGACAACTGATAAAAACTTTTAATCCATTCCTAAGAATCACATATAAGTCCCCAAGCCTCATACTTCTGATGCTGAAGAATTATCCTTTTTTGTGATTTTCTCTTCAGCTCTAAGACATGCTTGCTCTGAGGTACACAGGGAAGCATTTTGGTAATGAAAAACCATTCTCACCCGCAAGCACAGACCCACAATCCTTGCAGAGGTAAACTGCTCACCAAAATAGTGAACATCTAATGGAAATAAATGAGGATTTTGCAACATTAGAAGTTTAGGCTGGATCCCAGAACCATCCATACAAATAATCACTCTGCTCCTATGTTTATTAACTTATTAGGCTTTACTGGAATTTGCAGGAGAATTCATTCAGTTAAACACTGCCCTCTCCTGGAACCACCTGACATTTTTCTAGCTCATAAAATCGAATCAGTTAAGGCTTTTCCAATTGAATGTCATAGTATTTTGTGAACAGTTTCAGTCTGACATTGGAAAACCAGTGCTCTGTAGGGAGTATAATGACGTATAAAACTCTTGTAATCTGTTCTCTACTAACACATCTGTTCTCTACTAACACACTGTTCTCTACTAACACATCTCTAAAACCATATGAAACATGATCTTTCTGAATAAATAAATAGTGTATGAATCTGTGCCAACTTTCTAGAGCTTTGAAAGATTGCAACATTATGGAAAAAAACACTATACCTTCTACAGAGTGTGTTGTACCGCAGGGCATTTTTGGACCTTCCACTGTCTCAACTCCATCTGAATTAATACTCTATAAAAAAAATCAAAATTGCAGTAACTGTATTTGATGCCCATGATATTTGTCTGAAAACTCAAGAACAACATTGAAAGACTGACAAACACTTACATTATGAGCAATACTAAAATGACTGAGAGAAATTCCACAAGGAATATTTTATTGGCTACCTTCCAGAGGAAACTGACAGCAATCCCTCAAGAGGAAAACCTATAAAATATTTTTAACTACAGAGAGAAATCACCTCCTGCTTACAATACATGGAAGATCTAAAGGAACAGATTTACTATTTGCACTTCACTGCTTACAACCTTCTTCTCTATGAGAAAAGCAGCACAACAGCTTTACACAACAGCTCCATTCAGAATTCTAGTTTACGTTGAAAGCGTCCCTGTAAAGCAAGCAATTTTGATGGATAGGTAATACAATGAGAATAAACTAGGACTAAACACTAACTACATGACAGATCCAGTCTGGAAGCCAGGAGACACTCCACTCCCCATGTCTGTAGCTCCTGGACAGGCTGCTCCCTCACTCAGATACACACCAACTACATCACTCCTGCTCAAAAGGAAGAGGGGGCTGGGATACAGTCTCCTATTTTAGAAATTACTTTCTAAAATGAAAAACAAAGTGGGAGGAAGAAAGAATGGATTCTTTTGTGTCCTCTCATCTACTACTCTGCTTGCTTCTAGTCTTTCCCTCTAGTAGACTGCCTGTATATTTGCCAACTACCAAGAGCCACAAACAGAGAAAAAACATGGTAACCTGAGCACAAAAGAAAAAGCCAGGGATGACCCTGGACTGAATACTGCAGCCAAACTAATTTCTAATTTGAAAGCCATGAAGCCCCACCTCAGTGGGGCAAGCTGTATTTTTCTCTGCTCATCTCTTGCTGTGATCACAGTTGGCAGCTCCCCACTTGAACACGTGTCAGGCAGAAAAAGTCAAAAGAAAGTCGGGAAACTATTAAATCTGTCCATCACCAGGCAAAAAAAAAATTACTTAAATGATCATAAACTATCTTAGTCATTTTGGATGATTATCCTGGCTTGCTCTTTCTGGTTTCTTTCACAATTCTGACGCATTTCTGACTCAGTCCCCAGATCTCTCTTCCTCTCACAGAGGACCTCTGCCCTGCACTGGCCGTGCTGCCTGCAGCAGCTCAGGCTGCCTCGTGGATCACCTCCTCCTGCTGTCTATGTCTCCACTGGAGGTGCACGATGAACCAACCACATCCCACTGGCAGACACCATTACCACACAGCAATCTCTGTCCCAAGAAGGTCACACAGAATTTAAGCAATCCCACATCTTTTTCAGCAATTTCAACTATCTCCCCCATCTCCGTTGCCTGGAGTGGCCACAGGGTTCCCACTTTCTGAACTGCTGAATGAAGGCATGGCTCCCATACAAGTGACTTGGGCTTACTGACAACTTGTTTTAACTTTTCCATTACTTCCTCAGGCTTCTAAGGAATTGAACAGGAACTAAAAGAACCGACACAGCAGAGAGTGAAGAATATACTTCGGAAAGATTCATGCTTCTCTTGCATGAATAGATGTGCTGATGTCTGAGGCAATCATCTCACACAAATCCAACACTACATGCCACCATAACTGAGACAAAGCTCCCTTTCTTCAGTTCATTACTTTCTGACTCAAGCATAAAGTAGCAATGTGGTCATTTATAGAGTCTCAAGACACCAGATGTACAGCCTTAGTCTTCTGTAGACGAAATGAATACTCCAGGACAGCAGTAAATTCTACCTCTATTTTAAAAAGACTATATACTGTGAAATCTCTAATACCAACCAAAGATTTATAATTGCCTCCCAATGCTTTGGATACAACTGAAGAACTCAAAATTCTTGTTTGCAACAGAAGGAAAATTAATTTTACCTTTCCTTTTGGATATAATACATAGTCTAAAAATAACAGCTCATGTATAGAAAATTAACTAAATAAACCATGTGATCTTCCCAGTTATTCTGGTCTATTCCTGCTTGATTTAAAGTGCTGCAACACTGATGCTGAGCAGGAGGGGAATAAGGTCCCCACAACAGAACCTAGACTGCTGCAACTAGAGGAATGGCAAAAGGGGAACAACAAATCCAGGGCAGTAGGCTTTTTCCTGAAAACATCAAATGCAGAATTTTCTAGCTTTTCAGAGTCTTGTCTTTGAGAATACCTAACATGCCACAGTTTCTTTTTCCATTTCAAAGACTGAATGAAGTACAAGGACTTTGCAAGTGCAAGTGCAAGAAAAAGGCAATCATATAAATAACAATGAATTCTTGATTATATTCTTGGTTTTCCTTTTGAGTTCATTATTGTTAATGGAAAAGCCACACACAAATTGCAGGGATTCTACAAACTACAGAGAGTAACTTTTTTGTATTGAAAGAAATCAAATTTCAAGAACATAGTTAGGTAAGATTATACATAAGGACTATACAGTATGCTGCAACTTAAGTTTCTATATTAAACACAACATATAAATAATTTTCTAAGTTTAAAAAAATGCAGCATGAGAAAAAGGCAACACAAGGAAAATCAGTGCACAAATGAGGAAACCCAAAGCTAAGAATGGAAAAGATTAATTTCAAGACCAGAAAAAAAGCCAACTTTTAGTGTGTTTTTAGCTCACTAGTTTTATGTATGTTGTGTAGTCTCAATCTAAAAATACAGGTAAGCATCTGCATTGCTATTAAAGAACGTATGCATTCAAGCATTCTCTTTATTGTATTGAATCAAGATGTCCTGAAGGATATGACAATGGTGCTTCAGACATTTTACATTAAAATAAGAAAAACTAAACTAAACTCTGTGGAAAAAGTCTGTACCCTCCATTTCTGCTGTAAATAACAGACCAGGGCTGCCTCTTGATAAAGGCTCCCAGGCATTACACTACCAAAATAATGGAATTAAATTACAAATTTCAAAGTACAATCATGAATACAATGGCAATGCAATTGAAGACACAGAGATTTCAGGGAAAGATACTCCCTTTAGAGTCTACCATGATTAAAAACAACTTGGGAGGCAAAAGAGGTTTTACAAAGTTCTCAACACCTCTTATGCTCCAGCTTCAGACATACAATGTATACACAAAGTAGAAACCCACAACAGTAATCATGAAATTATACTGGTGATCAGTGACATGGCAGCTTAAATTAAAAGGCTACTCAATGAAAACAAATCCAGCCTGAAAAGTCTACAGCTGGAAATCATGAAGAAAATCTGTGGTACCTGTTAAAGGAGAGGTCTGTCCCAGAAGTATTTTCTGAAGAGCTTAATGTCTGACTCCAGCAAGTGCTGTGCAGTGTGACCGAGTGTCAGCACCAGAGCTCCAGATGAAAGAACAAACTGTATGCAGGCACCCTCGCTGATCTCTGCTCTTGAAATGTCAAGCGACGGACTGCCCTGGAAGCTGAAATGACACACCCTGTGCAGATGCTCCCTGCACAGGCAGAATGAAAGCTCTGCCACCGTGAGCTTCCGGCTCGCCTCCAGCACAGCCCGTCAGGACCCAACGACCCGCCACAAAAACCAGAGTCAGAAAACCTGAAACATCCACCGAAAACACAGCTGGGCAAACAAAAATCGTACCAATGAGTCCTTTCAGCCTTTAGAACACAGAGCTACTTCTAGCAACCAAATGGGAAAAAACAATGTTACCTCTAGACAGTTACTCAGTACTTAAAGAAGCCAGAATGAACAAGCTGTGACAATACCTATTTCTCCTTACTGCTGAGCAATACTACCTTTTCCTGTCAATGTTGCCATATATAGCAGTAGGACACAACTGGCAGCTAGCAGATTTGTTATCCTACAAGAGTGAAAAACAGAAAGTATCTCAAGGGAATACAGTATTGTTTGGACATAACAGTCATAACATAATGTACTGTACCCATGCTGTATTTTTTTTAAGCTGAAGTACAGATAAGTCTCACATAAACTACAGGCTGCATGGAGCCAAAACTGAAAGAAGCACATACCAAAATAAAAACATATCCCAATTCTTGCATGTCTCTATTTGCAAAGAAAAGCCAAGAGTACGAAGGGGTGTCTGATGCTTACCATTTGGTATCCCAAGACACATACATACACCCATGCAGCTCCTCAGGACTGTACAGACTGAGCTCCAGACAGCTGAAAGGTGCCACAAAGCACTTGTCCTTTAAGTAATTTGTCAGTGTGGCAGCTCTCCAGCAAAACAGAATCATAACTGCAGCACTGTCTTTGTTGCTGATTCTCCCTCATTTGTTTGTTCCAACTTGAGCTTTAGAGGGGTCACAAAGTCTGCTGAGGTTTTGTGGAAGTCAGGAGTCCTATGTTCTGTTCATATGTAAATATTTCTTTTTATATATATATAT